AACTAGAACAGAGGCTGGCGGGGCAGTGGAGTGGACAGTGCACTCCTGGTTGCTGTGGCTCTCACACCAGGCCCTGAGCTTTTGTCTCCAGGAGTGGCTCCTGGAATGTTCAGTCAGTTTCCTGTCTCCCTTTGAATTTAGCACAGCGTAAGGTGTGTTCCTAGAGGAATGTAAACATTTGGTTTGGTTTCTAATATTCCATCCTGATGTTATATGAGAATATGGAGAGCAGTTTTCTCATTTCCTAAAACTGGCTATAAAGTGGATCATGGTGGTGTCTTCTTTTCTTTGGCTGCTACTTAATAATCTTCAGGTTTACATTTCTATGGGACGGTATGCAGGTCCTTCATGAGCTAGTGTTGGGTGCCTAGCAAGTCTTATGTGTGACCATTCGGGCCATTACACAATGTTTTTTGCCCTCAAGGAGTTTAGGGTCCATATTGGGAGTGGATGGTGGAAGGGGGAGCTAATTAGCATAAGAACATTCACTGGGGAGTCAGAATACCTGAATTCTGGGATCAATTTTGCTACTTAGCTTGACTGTCTGACCCCTGACAAATCCCTCTTCTTCTTTGGTCCTCAGTTTCCTCATCTGTGCAATGGGTATATTGGTCTCTTATTATAAGGCTGTCTTTCAGATCTGTTATCCGAGATTGTTCTATCTTTTTGTTATCTTCTTGCAGGATTCTGACATAGTGAACATTCCACCAGCCTCAGATGCTTGACTATTCCTTTGAGTCCTTCTTTTTCTCAAATATTCTTTATAGATTTCATCTCCTCTTTGCTAGGGGACAATTATCTCACTTATTTATTCCTTAAATTTCAGTGGTTCTGCTGCCATTACAGCTGTCCTCCGCCCAGCATCCTCTCTGGGCTACCGAGGTGGCTCTTTCCATATACAGTCTTGTTTCATTCTCACAACAGCCTCTCAGCATTATGTATAAAACCCCCAGGTGTAGTTGCCACAGAGAGATGACTACACGAAGGACCAGAGGCCAGAGGAACAGGGCCCTTTAAAAGAATCTAATGAATTTCAGCATTCCTGGTAAGCATCTTCCTCTTTTCAGCAGTGACATTCACAACTTGGCATCTTATTTCATAATTACATAAAAGGATAACAGTCTGGACAGATGCCCGCCCGACCGTGCAGGCTGTGCTTGGGGCTGTCCGCCTCCCTGAATAGAAGGCGTGTCCTCCTGCCTCAGCCTGAAAGGTGACAGCTGGGTCAGGCTTCTCACATCGGTGTGCAGGGGCCACTTAGTGCTGGAGCTGCTGCTGCATTCCTTCCTGATCAGTTGACCTCGTTTGGTGAAGTCCCTCTTGAAAAAGGTGTGAGCAGCCTTCAGCAGACCCTTCCTGAAAGAGGAGCTATAAAAGTATCAAAGCATCTCAAATGACCCTGTCCTAGGACTGCACGACCTTTCCAGGCTCACTGCCTGCCAGTCCGTAACGAGCAGGGAAAGTGCCCCGATTTATGGAGGGGCTTATTGGGACACGGCCAGGGTGCTGCCGTTGAGGGAGCTGTGTCTCTTCGGGAGACACCTGAACCTTGAGCTCTGCCTTCCAGCACATTCCCTTCCTCAAGGAGCATCCTCTCTGGCGAGGGCGGTGAGACAGGTACACAGGTGACAGTGACCGGAGGCAGGCAGCTACTTCTGACCAGGGCCTGTCCAAGCCGGCCAGGGAAGGAGGCATTCGGGCTGGTCCTTGCAGAATAGGTAGGGTGGGCTGACCTTGAGAGACCGGAGCATACACATAGCACGTGTAGGCTTTCAATGAAGAATGACTGACTGACTGAATGAGTGGCCATTGGGAGTTTCATTACAGTGAAATTACCGTTTTCATGTGGAGGACTTCCCTTAAACGCCACGTTTGGCCAGCTCGCTGTTCTGCTTCTTGTCTGTCAAGATCTTTGGCACCTCGGCCTGCTCCTGGGCCTCTGTGTGGATAGCCTTGGAGCCAGATCTGCCTCGTGGGGCTCCCTTCTGGTCAGAAGGGGACTCAGAGTCTGTGGAAAGAGCATGCTAGGCGTTGAAGTCAAGCAGACCTAGGTTCAGATCCCAGCTCCGACTCTTAATTTGTTGTGAACCTTGGGCTATTGTTTTTAACTGTCCTAACCCTCTCTTTCTTCATCTAAACATGTTGGGTGGTTATGAGAAATGAACTATTGCCTGTGCAAGGCTGGACACTTCAAAGCCCTCAAAGGAAGGGTGCTTCTCTCTGGCCTTCCCTGATGGTACTGAAGTGTTCCCTGTACCAAGAAGATGAGGTTTACCCTTCTCTCATATCCGTGACAGGGCCACAGAATTACCTCCAAACAACCTGAGGCCTCCCCTTCTGCAGGTCACTGCCCTTTGCCCACTCCCGGCCCCCATTCCCCAACAGAATCTGCAAAGGTTTGGTTTCTCTGCTTGGGACGAGGTGCCACCCTGTCCCAGGCTCAGACAGGCTCTGCTCTATCCAGTGTAAGAGCTGCGTGTGGGAGCTTCGGGCACAGGAGGTGCACCAAAAGAAAGAAGAGAAATGGCTGGAGGGGGTGTGTACTGTGGGGCCTCCCATTGTGGCTTCTTTTTCTCTTTTCAATATATTTTTACTGATGTCAGAGAGGATGGGAGAAGGAGAGAGAAATAGAAACATCAATGATGAGAGAGAATCATTGATCAGCTGCCTCCTACACGCCCCACACTGGGGATGGAGATGACAACCTGGGCATGTGCCCAGACTGGAAACCGAACAGTGACCTCCTGGTGCACAGGGCCATGCTCAACCCCTGAGCCACGCTGGCTGGGCCCATTATGGCTTCTTGATGGTTACAATTCTCATTGGTTACAAGTCTCTCTTGGGATGCTGTTCTTCCCCAAGGTTGCCATCAGGCTCCTCTCCTCTGTTGCCAAGGCTGTGCCTGCGAGCAGCAAGCTCCTGGAGACACTGCCCATGGCCCATTCATTGCTCGTCTTCACTGCTGGCTCAGGGCAGCTTTCTGGGAGACGGCAAGGTCACCACAAGCAGCTGCAGGGTCATCACCTTTCTTGGTTTCTAGGTTGTTATTGTTTCTAGTGCAGGAAGGAAAGCAGTGTTTCACTCATGTGTCTATATGGGGCGGGCAGTGTGAAGCCAGGCAGGCAGCAGGGCCCACATTGGCCCTGGGGGCCTTTTTTTCTATATGCTGCCCACAGGGCCAGAGCGGCTATCTTTGGTGCCCTCTCACTGTCCTCTGACCTGGGCAGCTGGATTCTTACCTACTGTAACTTTAAAAAAAAATACACACACACACACACACACACACATATATTTCTATTGATTTCAGAGAGGAAGGGAGAGGGAGAGGGAGAGAGAAACATCAGTGATGAGAGAGAATCATTGATCGGCTGCCTCCTGCACTCTCCCCCACCGCCCCACTAGGTATTGAGCCCACAACCTAGGCATGTGCCCTGATTGAGAATTGAACCATAACCTACTGGTTCCTAGGTTGATGTTCAACCACTGAGCCATACCAGTTGGGCATCTCCTATAACTTTTTTCTTTTTCAGGAAACTCATGTAGAATGTCAACTCATGTTTTGTTTCTGCATCACAAAGGAAAATAGAGTGAGGAACAAATGAATCAGTTTTTCTTAAATAGTAAGCTGTGATTTCTTCATAAACTAATTTAGAGAATGGCACTTAAATTCCACAAACATTCCTCAGTGTTTACGGGATTCTAAGCCTTGTACTGAGTGAACGGAGGCTGAGACACCAAAGATGGGGTGCCTGTCTTCAGAGAGCATCTGGGGGCAGCCTGTCCTCAGGCAGCTGGGGCCTCTGCTGTGGGCAGATGCCAAAAGGCTGGTAAAGAGCCAGGCGGGAGCCCCGATGCCCCGGATGGTGGTGGTGCTGCATCCCCTCTCCATGCTGCCCACCCATTGAGGGCCAGCATGTTAAGTTTTCCTAGACTGCCTCAGGCCTCCCTCTGCAAGTCTCCCACTCTCCAAGCCCTGGGCCCCTGTAGCCTCCACAGCCTGTGTAGGTGACGTTTCCCACTGTTGTCCCATCTTCTTGGCATCTCGGCCTCACCAGGCACACTGTATTGTTCCCACTTCAACAAATGAAACAACTAAGATTTAGAGAAGTAAAATAATCTCCCCAGGGTTACAAAATTCGGCAGTAGCAGCAGAGCTGCACCTTACGCGCATGTGGTCTGATTCCCATTAGTTAGGCCTTCTCCTTAGTACCAAGTACTACTATCGCTCTTCATCATTTAACCCCAAGAATCCCCTCTTCAGAGCTCCCCAGTCCCTCTTCCATTTCATGTCAGCATGAGTCCCTCCCTTGCTCCCTCCCTGATTTTAGTGACCGCATGTCTCTCCTTTAGGACTGGGTCCTCAGCATAGGTGGGGGCTCAGACAGGCTTGGTCAGGTGAAGGCTGCGAGAATGAACTTGGTGAACACCCCCCACCTCCCTACTCGCTCCTGAGTTATCTGGAGGCAGCAGAAGCCAACAGCTCCTCCGTGCCAGGTCATTGTGCGACTTGCTTTGTCTGACTTGATATGTGTTTAGGGTTCCAGAATGTACTTATGAGAACTTAAGACAGTAGCAGTTCTTACCCCTCTCTCCCGTGGGTCATGTACCACCTGTGCCCCCAAAAGCAACACCTGTATGCTTTCAGTTTTAAGTAGGGCGTCCATAAACTGTCAGATGCGTTTGAGAATGAAACGGTGTGCTATTGACAATTACACCAGGACAGTAGGCCTTACCTGGAGCATATGGTCACCTGGATTAAAATAAAATGTGTCTACAACTGGAAGGAAAGATGTGGGACCTTTGTTTCTGGAGACTTCTGATTTTGCGGAGGGGGTTGCTGGCAAAGGAAGGCCCTGTGTTTCCAGCGCTAACTTTGCATCTTCAGGGATAGCAAGAATAATCCAGAACCCCATTCTGCACCTTCCACTCATTTTCTATAAATAGCCGAGCCTCCCAGGATGCGTGTCTGTGTCTTATTGTTGTCTTTTTCTTTCCTCCAGAGATCCTGCAGATAATACAGCTGGACCTAGACCTAAAGTACAAGACCAACATCCGGGAATTGTTCGAGGAGTTTGACAATTTCCTGCCAGGCGCCATCATTGGCATCGCGAGAGAGATGCAGCCGGTGTACAGGTGCGTGGAGGCTGGGGCGCCTCCAGGACCCCTCCTCACCCTTCACCCCCCTCTCCTGCCACTCCTGCTGACTGGGATTAATCAGCGTGCAGTCTTTCTGCACTCAGTCTCTTAGGGACACATTTGTGGTTATTACTTACAGGTCATAGTATGGGCAGGTGTGTAGGCTCCGGGCTGGAGATGCCATCTCGTTTTTTGGGGGGAGTTTGGAAAGCTCAGTCGTTTTAGTTGTTGGTTCTGGTTAAGCTCAGGATTTTAAAGTCTTGGGCTTTGTCTTACAGAGGAGGTGTTAGGACCGAGCTTTAACGTGCCAGTCTGGTGATGGATGCGGCTTTCTTGGCCTCTGAGTCACAGGGGCTGCTCCTCTGTATAAGCGGGTGGGCTTCCCAGGGTCTTGTGGGGAGGCAAAGGCAGCACAGCTTTGGAACAGAGATTGTCATTGCTTAGTTGAGGTGAAGAGTGTGTTCTGCACGATGCAGTGTTTTATTGTCAAGTGTGGTTACAGAGCAACTCCAGCACCTGAGGACCAGGGGACATGTTCAAGAATACTCATGCAGCACTGTTTGTAGTCGCCCAAACCTGAAAACAATGTAAATGTCCACGGACAGCAGAATGGATAAATGAAGTCTATCCATGCAATCGAATACTCTATTAGAAACAAAGTGAGCAAACAGTAAGTAGCTATCGTGAACTGTACAGTGATAGACAAGACTGAACTGTGATCTTCAGGGATGCACACACAAATAGTAAAAATGATAGGAAATAATGATTCCCAAAAGCCAGATGGTGGTTACCGCTAAAGGGGCTGGGGGAGTGATGGGGACATGGGTGGGGATTGCCTTAAGTGCTGCAGTCCTTTAGTTCCCTGCCTGGTGGCTGTGCATGTGTGTGCATGTCTGTTTTTGTGTGTAATATGTCTTTTACAGTTGAAAAAAACACATGACGGAAAACCAGAAGCACCTCCAGGTTTCTGTTAACAACTAGGTCCATGGCCCTGGGTCTAGAGGGTTCCGTGTTGCTGACTGTTCCTCCTCTGGGCAGAGCCACAGCTGACCCAGAGCCAAGCCGCCTGGAGGTGGGATTTCACTGTCCCCTGGGCTGGCCTGCTCTTTGTTCTCCGAGCAGACCCTCATGCTGGCTCCCTTTGGACATTCTTGGAGCTGGGCCCAGTCCTTGGAGCCCTGCAGGCAACCGGTGACTAAGAGCAGTCATTTCTCCTAAGGGGAGGGGAAGAAGGGGCAGCCTCAGCTTGGTCATGGCCATTTGCAAGACCCAGATCACATAACAGGAAATTCCTGCCAGGCCTCTGAAGGAGCTGATAACTCCCGGGCCTTGGCCTGTTCTACTGGACAGAGTCCTCTCACAAGTTGCCTGGAGTCACAAGTCTGGGGTTTTGATTTAAAGAAGTGGTTCTCATCCTTCTGGCCCTTCCTCATGTTGTGACCCAACCATAAAATTATTTTCGTTGCTACTTCATAACTGTAATGTTGCTACTGTTACGAATCGTAATGTAAATATCTGATATGCAGGATGGTCTTAGGCGATCCCTGTGAAAGGGTCGTTTGACCGCCAAAGGGGTCTCGACCCACAGGTTGAGAACCGCTGATAAAGAAAGGAGGTGATGGCAGGAGCGCTGACCTGGGAGTCCCCAGTCCTCTGCGGTTGTCCCGGCTCTGCCCCCAGCTCTGGGGACTGTGATCCCAGCTCTCCCGACCCCACCACCCTCATGGCCTTTGCTCTGTCCTGAAGTTCTGCTCGTGCGCCCCTCACTGTCCACAGGGGCCAGTGCCCTGGAATGAATAAGCCAGGCTGAGTATTCAATGCAGTTGGAGCAGTGATGCCGTCAGGCCCTGCTTTGAAATCTTCTCATGTAATGTAAATGGAAACCTGATCACACTAAACTTGAATTGGCCAGAATTTATGTTTTCTGTAGATTTAGGTTTTATAAACTGTGAAAAGTAACATGATTTAATTGTCTGGCCTTCTCAAAAGCAATCTCTGAACAATGTTAGATCCAAAATGAAATTGAGTTTTTCTCACCTGCCGTCTTTAACGAGGTGAGGCCTCTGCTGCAGGACTGCTGGGGAGTCCAACAAGTCCCCGCTTGCAGGGCTCACACTCACACTCACATTCACACTCACACTCACACTCACACACTCAACACAAAAGGAAACCTCCTTGCACGCTTCCCTCTCCCGCTTCCCTCTCCCCCTGCTGGAATGTTCCTAACGGCCCTTAATTAAGTCTCCAGATGACTGTCCTGCCCTAATCTGCACTACCCTGGCCCTGGTAATTGCCATTGAACGTCCTGCGGGTAGGATGGTTGGGTGCTGGCTGGGACAGGCAGGGGATGGAGTATGGCTCTTTGCCCTCTTCCACAAGAAAACTGGAGACTCCTCTGTGGCCCGAAAGACACGTGTTAAGTTGTCTGCTGCTCTGGAGGTGTCTGGCTGTGTGTTTTGGGGGGGCGGGGGGGGAGAATAGGAGAAGAAAGAGGGGGGAATAGAAAGGAGTAAGTGGTCAGTACCCAAGCAAGGACAGACAGAGCTGGGCCCTTCTCCTGAGCGGGCATCTCAGCACCTGTGCGCTTGGACTTGGCCAGCACAGCTTGTGGGGAACCTCTGCCCGGCCCCGCCCACCTCTGCAGGAGCTCGGGTGCTCGCCACCCCCTGAGTACTCCTGAGAAACTGGAGGCTGTATGACAGCCATGCGCTCTGCCTATGTGATGGTGTGTGAGGCCGGCAAGTCCTTTTCTGTCATAAGTGGAGTCTGCTAGCATCTATGAAAAGAAAGGCAATTTTAGAAGCAAACAAAACAAAAGGGGGGAATAGAAAGGAGTAAGTGGTCAGTACCCAAGCAAGGACAGACAGAGCTGGGCCCTTCTGAGCGGGCGTCTCAGCACCTGTGCCCTTGGACTTGGCCAGCACAGCTTGTGGGGAACCTCTGCCCGGCCCCGCCCACCTCTGCAGGAGCTCGGGTGCTCGCCACCCCCTGAGTACTCCTGAGAAACTGGAGGCTGTATGACAGCCATGCGCTCTGCCTATGTGATGGTGTGTGAGGCCGGCAAGTCCTTTTCTGTCATAAGTGGAGTCTGCTAGCATCTATGAAAAGAAAGGCAATTTTAGAAGCAAACAAAACAAAACAGCACAAAAGCAAAACTTGGACAGATTAACTGAGTTCATTTTGATGTGGAAATTCACTAAGCAGAATTAAATTTGGATCTCCTCCGCGGTGTTATTTTTATAGTCACTTGTCCGACAGTTACTCCACTTCAAAAGGGCACATATTAAGTCATGTTTATGGCCATTTCCCCTCCATTGTGTGCTGTGAGTGTCAGGAGCTTGGAGGGGGTGGGGGGAGAAGTATTGCCTACTGTCCATTCTTTACTTTTTTTTTTTTTAAATCAAATGAACACCAAACCGACTGTGTTCTTTGGAAAATGATGGATCATGGGATGCTAGGAGAGAGGAGCCTTTTCTTAAAACTGTTAAGAGTGTTGAATCAAATATCCCAGGACCTTCCTCATCTGAAAACTGGGAAGCAGTGGTCATCTTGAGTGAAACATTGCCCTTCCTTTCTTGACTTTTTCTCTCCCTTTGTGTCAGGGAACTAGAACACAATCAGGTCCTTGCTGGTGATGTGCTTTATTGGGATGAGTGGCCAAGAGGAGAAAAGGGTCCGGTGAACTCTCTGTTAGTAGGATGGTCTCTGTGAGTGGACAGTTGCACTTTGTCAATATGTGTTAGCCCAGGATGCCATTTTGAACTGGCTTCTTATGCATGTGTTGTCGGTGGAACGCAGGCTGTGCCACGGGATCTCCAGGGAAGCAGGTGTGGTGTGGCGGCATTTATTTCTGATGCAAAATCAAAGGAGCTCCCCTCCTAGGTTTCCAGTGTCCTATCTCCATCTGTCCTGCCATAGAAAAAAATCCAGTCTTGTCTTCAAGGCTGAAACATAGGGCAATGTCCAGAGATTCTGTTTCATATTGAAGCTTCGTCTTTTGGAGCCTGCGTGGTCTGTTGTGGGCCCCAGGTGGCCTAACCACATGGTTGCTTATGCAGAGAACATGCTAACGAATGTGGCCATTGTGTTACCAGTGGGCGAGACAGAGAGAGAGAGAGAGAGAGAGAGAGAGCGAGCACATGCTTGCTTCTTTGTTCTTCTGTGTGTGTTTTTTGTTTGTTTGTTTTTTTGTTTGTTTTTATCATCTTCGGCTTGGGAAGAACCAGGAATTTTTTGAAAATAACGAATCAACTTCCCAAGCTTTGGCAGGCCTCTGATGGGTCCACCCCCTAACCAATGATTCCTTCCCCACGCTAGACAGACAGGCCTCGGTGGTCCAGCACCTCCCCCTGTGCCATTTTGACTTCTATGGTGCATGTGCTTAAGCAGTGCAGGAGGGGGTGTTAATCTTTGGCCATCAAGCAGACAGGCTCATGCTCCCCAGCCCATTAGGCTCAACAATGTCTGACTTCCTTCGCTTCCTTCCTTTTGTTAATATCTGGCTAACTTCAGTAACAACTGCATTAGAAGACGAAAGAAAACTGTCGGGCCCTCTTTATGTGCAGCCTGTAACAATTATAAAGCAGCGAAGCAGCTGTGCGGAGGAGAAATAGCACTCAGGTTGTACCGGGAAGCCGCCGGATCACAGTCCTGCCTTTTATGAATTATCCATGGGATGCTTTACAAGTCACTTGCTCCCTAATCATGTTTGGTTTTTTTT